TTCCCCCTAGGTTTCTTGGAATGAGAATGATCATCCTCACATTCAGTGTCTATCGTATGACTCCTTTCAGGTGCTGCTTTTTTCTTTATCCCCAATGTCACAGAATCTTGAATATTTGTAGATTTTTCTTCTTGGTCCTCAAAATTCCAATTACTCTTCTTTCTTTTGTTTGGCTCCGTATCTTCACTTTCAGAGACCTTTGCCTCCAATTTCCTCTGTCGCTTTCTTTGTCTTCTTGACAAGCTGCTAGAACCATTGGTGACTGTGTTGTAACTGTTCACTCCAACAATCTCCTCCAATCTGACTCTATCAAATCCACAAACAAAATAAAATGTCAATGTTGCAACACATTTTATGCTAAAAATAAAACCCATCCAGCTGCCTTTAATCCTACAAAGACACAGGTTAGGAATACTAATCTCAGTACAATAGTCTCTTTTTTAGTCTTTATGCCTTAACAGTCTTTAAGGCATAAAGACTAAAAAAGAGACTATATGTATATACTTAAGAGTAAGCCACATGAGTGGGATCATATCACACAACGCCATGATTTATTGAATCATAGTTTACGCATGCCACATTTGTTCCTGCTTATATATCACATTAACCCCCACACACAAAATCATAAGGTTAGATAATGTGTAAAGCCTTCTCTATATTTAAAAGCTTATGCCTCATAATGGTATATAGAATTGTAGCCTGGAAGATCAAATAATTATCATTAGGTCAGGGTTTCTCAAAATGAGCACTACTATCACCCAATAATATGATAAATGAATTTGTATGACAGCTTCCATAAATAAAATGAGTATCATTAAAGCCAAGTTTGGGCAAGTCAGTGTCTTGCTTACTTGTAACAATTATTGTTGTGGCCAAAACCTGGCTCACCAAAAGCAACCAAATCACTTTGAATATAGCACATAATTTTATTAGCGTGCAAACAACAAGACAGTATACACTGGGCTCCCAGCAACACTTCCGCACTTTGGTGAGCAGCTATGAGCAAAAGCAGAACTAGAGCTTACATACCTTTGGCCTATTTTATTGGGAAGACAAGGGGAAGGGACAGCAGGACCTTGGAATGTTTTAGATAGATAAAGGCACCCATGTGACCTTATTATTCATTCATTCTTACTAGGTCAGCATGGCACCCATGTTATCTCTGAGATATGGTAAGTGACTAGAAATAATTGGGTTTACTGGGCCACAGGTTCCTGACCAATGATTCCTCCGTCTGATGCCACTCAGGGTCAAGCTTGCTGTGAATGTTTTCTTATTAGGGTACTTTAAGTAGTTCATATTTAGGGTTGGGGGGCACCCCATAGGTATGGTAATGAGTGGACCTTAATATATATTGGGTGTGTGTGCTTTTTACACCATATTATATTTTAATCTAACCATATTGGGTGTGTGTGCTTTTTATGCCATATTACATTTTAATCTAACCATCACAGCATCCTCAAATTTTATAAGCTTCCACAAGCAAAACAGATACCAAACCTCAATCGTTGCTAATATAAGCATGGTAGGTTTTGTTTTTTTTAATTTCAAGTTTGGGAACATCTGCTCTAGATGATAAATAAAATAATTTTATGGGTGCTTAGTTCCACATTAGATGTACTAACTTTAACATGCCACATGTTAAATAGTTATATATTTGCAGTTCTATAATTATGATGCACTTGGCTTTCACCTGCATTCCCCCTCCAATTACAGGTAGTCCTCGACTTACAAGTTCATTTAGTGACCATTGAAAGTAATAATGGAACTGGAAAATGTGACTTATGACTGTTTTTCCTAATTTTGACCTTTTCAGCATCCCCATGATCATGTGATCAAAATTCAGGTGCTTGACAACTGGTTCATATTTATGACCTGTGTTGTCCCAGGGTCGTGTGATCACTTTTTGAGACCTTCTGACAAGCAAAGTCAATGGGGAATCCAGATTCACTTAACCAGGTTACTAACCTATCAATGGCAGTGATTCACTTAGCAACCATGGCAAGCAAGAAAAGTCGTAAAATGGGGCAAAACTCACTTAACAAATGTCTCACAACCACAGAAATTTTGGGCCCAATTGTGGTTGTAACTCGAGGACAGCCTGTATTTAGCATCAGAAACCCCATCATTATGTGAATCGAATGGAAGATGCAATTCGAAGTATTTGGAAGGCATCTTCCTGCCCAAATCTGAACAGGATCAAGCTAACATTCAAAAAAATAAAATAAAGTAAATTTGCCAACATGCAAACCAAATAGCCAAAATCTCTGTTCACTCCAAAGCAGGCAGCCACTCAGAGAGCCCGTTTCCCCCCACCACCGTAGCCCAGGGCTGTGTAGTATACAAGGAGCTCCCCCCCCCGCCCCGGGGCCCTTTTTCCTTTTGCAAGGCTCCCACCGAAGAGAATCGTTGTCCCGCACCAGCCGCGCGCTCTCGGTGGGCGGCAGGAGCGCCCCGTCGAGGAAGAGGTTGAGCCTGGCGTGGCGGCTAAAGCCGAACTTCTCCCGAATGAGGCTGATCAGGTCAGTGATGAGGCGCACTTGGTTAGGCTCCACCAACAGCCAACACAGTCCGCACGCCGGACTAACCGGCGGCGGGTAATCGAAGAGCAGGCGGAGGCGCACCGGAGCCTCGCATCCACTGCCTATGGCCGCAGCCATGTTTCCGAGAGCCAAGAGCTACGGCGTGCCACGAGGGACAAAGCGAAACGAAAGCGCGAGAGCAAGAGCGAGAGCGGGCGGGGCTGGCCGCGAGCTGCTTGGAAACGCTACGGGGAAAGAGAAAGCGCGAGAAGCTGAGGGTTCTTTTCCAGCACGGCAATTTCTTGCTTTTGCCCCATTAAAAAAAACAAAAACAAAAAAATGTCCATTTTTTTTATTTGAATGCTTTTAAATTAAAACAATCATAACAAAAAAAAAATCAAGTTAGGTTGGAAGTTTTCAATATTTCTGGATATGTTGGAGTTCTGGAGAGAGAGAAAAAAAACCAAATTCCACTTCCTTATTCACTCTGAATAGTTTAACATCTCTCGGAAATCACCGAGCCAAGAGACTGCACATAAAACGGCATATAAAAGCAGGAGAACTTTGTTTTTAAAAAAATGTGTGCGGAGGAATGCGGGATTAGTCAACTTGCTAATGGCAGCATATCACCTACCAAAGAAAAATAGTGATATTTTTTTTATCATAAAGGTATGCAAATAAAGCGTAAAAATAGGATATAGTAGGAAACTAAACATGCTTGTCTACAAATGTGTAAAAGACTCGAAAGTCATTAATACTGTTAAAGGTCTAAATAAACCTGTTTTAATTTTAGGTGGGGATACATGCTCACTTTTCAGTTTTCCTTTACTGAATTCTCCATGTGAATTTTCTGGAAATACATGCCCAGTACTTTTATTCTCCCTGCCATTGTGATAGCTAATAGCCTTCTATATAGGTTCAGGGTGCTCCCCCTCTCTCTTTATATAAATAAGTTTTCACTAAAATAGAAGTACCATATGTTAAAGTAAGTCAAGTCTGTATTCTTTCCTTGGCTTTGATCATAATAACTGTTTTGAATTTGGAGGAGGCTAACGTGGAGATTATTTGTACATTAGCAAATGTTCGCTTTGTGCTATGATTATAATTGCAATTGTAATGATTTATTCACATGGTATATACAGTAGGTTTTATATAATTTTATCCTTTTAATATTATAAACCCTCCAGAATTATCCTGTTTTAAGATGGGTAGCCAATAAATAAATAATAAATAAATGGCTCCAAGAAATATCCTTTAATTTTAAAACAAGAATAATATGGAAACATGAATGTCAGAGAAAATGAGAAGTTCATAAGCCAGATTTTTATGGGGTTATTTTTATGTGGAAAAGCAGAAGACATATTCTTGCAGTCTGAAGCGGTCCAGTTCAGATTCAACTTAATAAAATGGGAACCAAGCTGGAAGAAAGATTGGCTGCTGTGATAGGCTAAAGATGTAACACTTTTAAGTTAATTTTTAAGTCCTATTTGATTGAATAAACCACAATTGACTGGATGCATCCAACACACTAAGCCAAAAGCAAACAAGCCACACTCACTAATCCTGAATTCTGCTTGCTTGAGCGAGCTTGTATTCAGGAACTCTTTTTCTTTATAAGGAGGAAGTTGTGGAAGCAAATACTTAGTTCCCAAATCAGACAACTTTCCGTATTGCTTGTGGTTTATTTAACCCTATTGCTAGGTTTGCATATACAAGTAAATGAAAAAAAAAGGAAACTACATCCATCTTGTCTGTCTTCTGTCCGTCTATCCACCCATCCATCCAATTTCTATGGCCACCCATTTCACAAGAAGTGATTCAGGACTGTACAGAAAAAGATCTGAACACAATAAATATGTCAAAAGTAATCAAACTAAAGTTTTAAAAGCACAAAACACTCAAGATCAAGGGAGCACCTCAAGATTTCACAGGCCCCCTGAGATTCCCAGGCCTGGTGACATAGGTTTTGAGTGACTTCCAGAAAATAAGTAGGAGTGGAGCTGATCTCACCCCAGGAATAGGAGGTGTGTGTGTGTGTGTGTGTGTGTGTAGGAAGAACGTTTCATAAGATAGGTGTGTGTGTGTGTGTGTGTGTGTGACTATGTAGGGGAAGACTGTTCCGTAAGGTAGGCAAGGGCATGGGGTGGGGGAATTCAGCCAGAGGTCCATACTGGTTACAGTTGCCAGCAAGAAACACATTGGATTACAGGTTACAACATACAGGCTTAAACTACTTAAACTTTGTGGTTTCTTCCCCAAACCCCAAAAACTTTAACCTTAGACTGTCTACTATTGACCCCTAAGAGGCCTGTAGGGGGCGTGCATAAGCGCCCCAATCGTGCCTACCGTCCCTGTCCTATTGTTTTTTTTTTCTTTTCTTATAAGTATCTATCTCATGTATTCAAAAGTATATTTATTCTTATACCTGTATCTTGTAAATACTAAAATACTTTAAATTCATTTTTTTCCCCACTAGTCTAATCCCCCTGGCAGCCAAACCTGGGCCAAGAAACGAACCAGAGGGAACCGGAGTTAGAGGGACTTGGCGGTTCTTCCAGAACGGAGCAAAAGAACCGCAGAGGCGAAATCCGCCCCGCCGGGACAGAGCCAGAATCGAGAGACCGCGTTTTGAATCACGCGCTCTCGTCGCGCGGTGAAAGCTGGTCGGACGCGGCTGGTCCAATTCGTAGCGCGCAAAGGTCGGGCAGGACCAAAGAGATCACGTGTGGGAAGCTTTGAGGAAAGGAAAAACATCCGCGGTTCCCGAGTTGGGTCGGGTTTTGAGGATCTGTAGGCTCGCTTTTAAACTCGGCTCGCCACTACCCCTTCTTCAGAAGCGGCTGGCGGGGAGTTCGAGCCTTACGGTTGTTGCTCTGAAGATTGTCAAGATGTTGCTGACGGAAAGTATTATTCTAATATTGTCGCTGGGGACTCTAAATTCGGGTAAGCTTGGAAAGAAGGCGACGGCTTCTTCTCTCCCCCCCTCCCGCCCCCCAATCGTGTCTGGTTAGTAACAGCTCACAAGCCCACACACAAGTTTACGGAAGGTGAAACACGATCGGAGAACGGTACTCCTTTCGTGGTGCTGAATTTAAAACTGACCGCATCTCGAAGCTACTAACCCGAGCGTAAAATGATTGTATTTGTTGTTTGTATTTCTGTTGAGATTTTAAAAGCTTGCCTTGTGCTGCTGAGCTTTCTCGTCCTGCCAGCTATGCAAGCCTCCTTCCGTGGAAGAATATTATGAAAGTGGCAGAATCTGAATGAGTAATCATGGGCTGAAATCTCTGCGGAAATCTCTTAGATCCTCTTTTTAGAGTCAGCCCCCATTTTGGGTTGTTGGTGAACTGCAACTCCCAGCAGCTTCAGCCAGTGTGATCTAATTTGTGTGGAGGTGGGGGGGGGAATTTCTCGTGTCCTTTTGGGGAATTTTTTTTGTGGGGTTTTAGTCTTCTACAGTAAACTGCAGTACATCTGCAGATTGCTGCTGCAATCTGCAGATGCAAGCAGTACAAGTTTAGGGACCCCTGCTTTAGGCACTCCTTCCTTCCTTCCTTGTTCTTTTTTTTTCTTTTTGTATTTGATTTGTGTTTGTCATCCACATACTTCTCTGATCTCTAGTGACGGCCTGGCACAGAGCTAGAAGATATGAGCAACTGTGAGGAAAACACTTTGATTCCCGGTATTCAGCCAAGCAGGCTTGCTTGGAAAGCGAGTGTAAAATATTTACTCCTTTAATTGGTAGTTATTTAAAACAAGTTTTTAAATTTGCCTTAAAGGAAACATCCCATGTAAGCAGTCACTCCTTTTTTAAAGCTAACATTTTAAAACTAGACACTTGAGGAAGAACTACTATATAACTTAAATTTAAATTGTACAACTTATGCTCCCAAAGGTGGAAATATTTCTTCAGAGACAAAGTATATATAGGTAGTCCTCTACTTACAATTCATTTAGTGACTGTTGAAAGTTACATTGGCACTGAAAAAGTGACTTATGACTTTTTTTCATACTTATAACCATTGCAGCATCTCCATGGTCATGTAATTAAATTCAGACACTTGGCAACTGATTCATATTTATGATGGATGGTCATGTGACCACCTTTTGCGACCTGACACCCAAAGTCAATGCGGAAGCCCGATTTACTTAACAAATGTGGCAAGAAAGGTTATAAAATGAGGCAAAACTCACTTAACGAATGTTTCACAGCAACAGAAATTCTGGGCTCAATTGTGATCGTAAGTCGGGGATTACCTATATATGGTGCAGCAGGCATTTTCATAGACAAAGGGGAAAAAATGAAATAATGATAGAGGAATAGTAACCTACCCAAATTCCTTATTGAGTTTCCATGACTGAGGGTACATCTGGAATTGGGAGTCTTTAGTTGTAACCAAATCTCTCCATGCTTCATCAACATGGTATGAGAGCAAACCCCAGTAAAGCAGAAAATATTTATTTATTAAATGTATATGCCCATCTCACTATGGATGCTATTTCAGAGCAACTGTTTGTGGGATTATTCTACTTTTCAATCGGGTGGCAATAAGGAAGAGAGCCAGATGTTAAGGCTATCATATCAGGGCAAAAAAAAAAATCTAGATGACCACTACATGTAATGGGGGAGCTATAGAACAGTCTAATTTGCTCCTATCAAGTGATCTGGATTTTTCCAGATGATATGTAATAGGCCTGCATGTATGGTTCTTTTTAAAAAACAGGTTAAATATTTCATAATGCCAGTCTATTCAGATCAATAGTGTTAAACTTGTAGAAATCCTTTCTACCTAACCCTGAGCTATTAAATTTGAACACTAAAGAGGAATGCAGTCCTATAAAAGTCTATTCTGGTGAGTCCCACTGATTTGAATGGGATTTACTTGTAGGTAAATCACTATAGGACAGCAGTCCACAATCTTTGCAGCTTGGCGGCACAGGTGGGGTGGAGGGGAACCGGACCATATTAGCAGTGGACTGGTGCGCATGTGTACATCATGTGTGTGCAGTGCGCGTGTGTACCAGCCCGCTGCCCAGTTGTGAATAGGCCATGGCCTGGTAGTGGGCCACGGTGAGGGATTGGGAAGCCCTAATAAAGGATACTAACCCTTGTTCTTGGAAGTTCTCTGTGTTTGCAGAACATTGTCTTTGAGGCAGAGATAATAATGTGATTTACACTCACAGCTGCTTATTATGGAAGTAAATCCTACTGAGCAGTTGACTTTTAACCACCAACTCTATGTGAGATTGTGCCTATGGCACTCTGAGAATCATGGTACTTCATTTTATTTTATTTCTCTCCTCTCCCCTGCTTTTAATAATGAGTTGTCTATCAAGCATCAGTGTAATTAGGAGTAGCCATTTGCACTGCAGAGAGAGGTTACAGTTGTTAGTTAAAGTAGTCTATGATCTAAACTCTATTTTGACACTGCCTTTAAACAAGTACTGTTAATAGCTACTGTGGGAAAAGAAGGTGGCAGTATTTTGCATGAAGTCTACACCTACGGATAAGCAATTGCATTGGAGTCAGTAGGACTGATATGATGTAAGCTGCTGTAGGAATGTGTCCTCTTGATGGAAGACGAGAAAAAGAGGTAGGAGGCTATCTTGGCAATCTACTTGGCACTGGATTTGGTTGTACTGCACAGTCCTGTTTCTTAACCTGTGGACCTTGGAATGTCTTGCAAGGTTGAATCCTGTCTACTGAAGAGCTTCAACGAAATTGCACCCACTGGAGTGAGGTGGTGGGTTTTCTACTGCCAGTTCTTTGATTCCAGGGGGTCTGTGGGATTGGAGAAAAAGTGCTAGGGCTTAAGAAAGGGGAAAAGGCACTTTCTGGTATCATCCCATGGGATTGGACAATTGGCACTGTCCAATATTCCTACCTGCTCTTCTTTTCTTAAAAAAAAAATACTTTTTAGATAAGGCTAGCATGTCTGTTTTTTTTTTTTTATTTCCAAGCATGCCCATGAGCTTCATGTGCTGAGCTTCATTTGGAAACATCCAGGAAAAGGGACAAAAGAAAGATGGAATGTAGGAAGGAAGCTGAACAGGTTGTTTTCAAATAAACTGTGGTTGTTTTCCACAGTCCTAAAATGTTGCCATCTGTTTGGTCTCCGAACTGACAGTATCTGTTTTGTTGTATAAGTAGACCAAGGTAGATTACAATCTGTATTCATACACCCCCCCCAAAAAGGAATGAGCTTAATGCACAGATACTGACAGTTTGTCCTGTTGAAGTGGGCAGAGCTTATCTCGAAAGTAGAGTATATTTGGATGGCAGATGATCTGCAGACTCCTTGATAGTGACCCCCCCAAAAAATCTTGTTAATGTTTCTGAGTCATATTATGAGACATTTTGATAGGTAGATCTTACTCTCTGATTCATCATAGCTCTGGGGTAAATGTGACCTCAGGGCCGTCTACTGAGCAGAAAAGATTCATAGACTACCTCACTCTTCCATTGTCATTGTTGATGGAACACTTGGTGCTCAAAATCTAATCTGGGCCTTGATGATTACGTTTGTGTAGTACCCTGTAAAACTAAGGGTATTTCTGGCACCGAAAGTAGCATTGCTATCTCTACTATCTCTGTTCTTTGAAAGAACCACATATTGTACAAGGCCAATTGTACATGGAAGTGTGGAGTAATTACAGATTTGATGTGGTAGTGTAGAACAGGGATCTCCAACCTTGGCAATTTTAAGACTTGTGGACTTCAACCTCCAGAATTCCACAAGTCATAAAGTTGCCAAGGCTGAAGACTCCTAGTCTGGAAGGAAGAGATTCTTCTCCTGAAATTCTCAGAATGATAGAAGAATGCCAAGTCCTCTTGTGTCTTAGCTTTGTAAAGCATAGTAATTGCTTATTTTTTCCCCTCCCCTTTTAGCTTTTTCAATAAAGGAACCTAAAGAAGCGAAACAGGCGTGGGGGTATGTTCCTGTCAGAAGCAATGCAAGCATGTTCTGGTGGTTATACTATGCAGACAGTCCCACTCAGAATTTCACACAACTTCCTCTTATCTTATGGCTGCAGGTAAGTTGGGGGTAAGGCTTTGGTGTGAGCTGTAATGGAAGGACAATAGCATCAGAAGTAGAGTTGAATCCTGTAATACCTTGTAATAGAAGGTTTCTAAAACTCTGAACGAATCCTTCAGAGGAGAAGAATAAAGTTTAAATGGAGATTCAGCCCTATAACATAAACTGATTGCATTTGGCGGGTGGGATTGGAGGGATTGAGTCATTGTTAATTCCTGGTGACTGGAAATGTCCTGCAGTTTTTTGGTAAGATTTCAGAGGCGGTTTTCCCTTGCTTAATTCCTAGGACTGAGAAGATGGGGCTGTCCCAAGATAACTCAGGTAGCCTCATGCCTAGGGTGGAACTAGAATTGTCAGTTTCGGGGGTTTTAGCTAATGCCTCGACCACTACACCAAACTAGCTCTCATTGTATATTAATTATACCTCATTGCCTTAATTATTCTAAATCAAGTTATTAAAAGCAGTTGAAAAATCAGAAATGTTATTTCTGATGCCCCACACGAAGCTGTAGTGTAAATTGTTTGGATTTGTAAGTTGCTTGGAAGGCACGGGAACAGTAATGCAAATTGCAAGGGCAAAAATTAAATTATGGCATAACATAAATGAGCTATAGAATTTCATTGTGGCATTCCTATGCCTATACAGGTAACTCTCAACTTACAACCATTCATTTAGTGATCGTTTAAAATTACAGCAGCACTGAAAAAAGATATTTATGACTGTTTTTTACACTTATAACTGCTGCAGCATCCCCATGTTCACATGATCAGAGTTTGGTAATTGGCTTGCATTTATGACAGTTGCAGTGTCCCGGGGTCATTTGATCATTTTTGGGGACCTTATGACCAGCAAAGTCAATGGGGAAACCAGATTCACTTAACAACCGTGTTACTAACAACAACGGTAGTGATTCACATAAGAACCGTGGCAAGAGAGGTCGTAAAATGGGGCAAACTCATTTAACAGCTGTCTTGCTTAGCAACAGAGATTTTGGACTCAATTGTGGTCGTAAGTCAAGGACTACCTGTAACAAACAGGAATTAAGTTTAGCTGGGAAAATTCAGAAATTCTGCCTGCTGAGCATCTCTTGGAAAGGCCTGCATTTTCTTTCCCACGTGGACTAACATAGCACTCGGAAGCCGTTTCTAAGAAAAAGTTCTACATGATTCTATTTGTAGATTTGCATTAACAGCCTTGGAATGAAACCATTCTGTTCATCACACCTCCTTTTCTTGAGAGATAAATGAAAAAAAAAGATAGCAAGAAAAATGGTTGATGATTTTCCTCTCCATTTCTCATCTCTGTGTTTCCATAGGGAGGCCCAGGAGCTTCAGGTTGCGGATATGGAAATTTTGAAGAGATTGGTCCCTTAGATTCTGATCTAAAACCAAGAAAGACAACTTGGGTAACTGTGTTAAGTTATAGTGGGAAAATTGGGCATGCTCTGGCAGGCTATGTTTAAAAAAGGATGCTTTTTGCAATATGTTGGTTTTTGTTTGAGATGCAGACTTTGAGATCTTTCTTGCTCATTTTCCTCTAGGAGCCCATATACCGTATGCTTCTGAAGCTATCAGTTATTTAAAGAGATTTTACTCCTACACCTCATCCAGCAGCCTAATAGATTATTTGTCTTCATGGCAGGAAATCTTTATTTGCTCTATTTTTCTATATTGTCCTTGTGTTAAACAAACCAAGTAAGACTTTAGGATTCATATTTAAAGAAATGAATTTTACCAGTAGTCATAAGACTGCTCTTCCACTATCCTGAAAGCCAAAAACAAAAACATGTATATTAAAAAGATAGCTTACAAGCATATATATGCACATGTGCACAACAACATACACATAAACACACAGACAGACACATAAGGAAAATTAAAATTTTTAAAAGAATAAACTTAAAATTGGGGAAAAGCTTTGAACCACAAACTGTGGAAGGTTTGACTCTGTTGCAAGTATTAACAACTGAAAGTAAGAGACTTCTATGGCTGAGGTTGCCTATGAATGAGAATAGCTAATGCTAAGACATATTTAATAAATGCCTCTAGGCTGAAAATATAGCGATAATGAGTAGTGCATTATCCTTTCAATGCAAAATAAGCTCTCATGTGCCTTTGCGGGAATCTTTGAAAGAGTCTTTCCTTCTTTGTCATCCCTTTTAAGTATGCTGCCCTCCCTCTGTGTGTGTTGCTGATGTCAGTGTTTTCTTTGGGTGGTGTAGCTGCAGGCAGCAAGTCTTCTCTTTGTTGACAATCCTGTTGGCACCGGATACAGTTATGTTAATGACACCCTTGCCTACGCCACTGATCTCAGCATGGTCGCTTCGGATATGATGGTGGTTCTCCGAGAGTTCTTTAAATCAAAGGCGGAATTCCAGGCAAGTACAGCCGGAACAGCCCATGGAATGTCTTACTGTCCACTACCACTGTATGAAATCCCTAAACTACACATTAACCCTATTCAGGCATTGCAGAACGGAAGTACTCATCACACAAGCCTTTTCTTTAAGCTCTGCTGACATTTATCAAATGGCTTTGGGGATGGATGTTTACAGAAGGAAACCTTGCTTAAATTTGCTTAAAATTGCACATGTGCTGACTTCCTTGCAAATTAGCATCTTGAACAATTGGCATCCTTGTTCATGTCAAAGCCAGTCCACTAATAGTTATGCTTGCAAAGGCTCCTGTAGACTGTTACCCCGAACAGTTTGTGCTAGAGGGCAAGGCCTGTTGAGAGTGCTGACATAGCAGGAATTGCCTGAAGGCTAGATTTAAGCTCCCCCTTCCCCACTTCAAAGTTATCTCAGAACATGGGACAAATGATGGTGTATTCAAAGGTTCCTCATTCCTGCAGTGTAGAGATTGCTCCCTCCTGAAAATTAGCCCTTTAATGGAATGATTTATAACCCTAGGCCTAATTTCAGTCTCTCTGTGTGTTCTGGTGTGACACACAAGGCCTAATTTCAGCCAGAAAGACTTCGGGCATAGGATCAGTCCTGGGAAGTAGGTTTTTATTATGCTCAAAGGGAGATATGAAGGATCCCTGTATATTCATTGGGTTGCCCTGTCATTAAAATGGAGTGGATTCTCTAACTTCAGGAGAAATATTTTTTTTTAATTTTTGGAATGAAATGTCCTAGTTACTGTGTAAATGACTTCATTTGGTATATAGGTAATTCTCGAATTATGACAGGTGCTTAGCATTACAACCCCCCCCCCCCCAAAAGGTACCTATACTTATGACCATCATTCAAAGTTCTGACAACTGCTTCCCCCACTCCCAGTGGTCACATAATTGCATTTTGGGCACTCGGCAAACAGCATTTATGTGATTTACAGTGCTTTTTGCCAGAAACCAGGCTTTGCTTAGTGACTCTGGCAATTGGAGTGAAAAACATAACATTGAGTCTGGTCATGTGACCTGCTTGGCACAGTGCTTGGCATGGTGCAACTGTAATTCTGGGCTCAATTACATTCGGAAGTTGCGGGCTACCATAATCTGCTTTGCAATGTAATGAATCCCATGTCTGTGGAATGGGACAGGACAGAAATCCAAGGGGGTGTCTTTTACTTGGCTGGATAGCTGCAGATGGAGACCATTTTGTCTTGCTCTTCTGAGAAAAGATTTCCCTTTGGTGTTTATGGGCATCAAGCAGGAAAAAGAAAAGAGTGAAGGTTTATTGATGTATTGAGTAATTCTTTTATTTTTGTGGAAGGTGTATAAAGGGTTCAGTCGCTCAATATCTTTTTTTTTAATGCATTTTTTCCTTTCAGACAATCCCCTTCTACATCTTTTCTGAATCTTATGGAGGAAAAATGGCAGCTGCCATTGCTCTGGAAGTTCATAAGGTAAAGTTGATTTTTCCCTGTCAGAGAATATGGTATTCTCATCAAGGTAACTTGGATTTCTTCTGCAAGATCCGGAGGGAAGAAGAATCTCTCTTAAATCTCTCTTAATAAATGAGGCATATAAAATCCTCCTCGAATCAAGGTTGATTCTTGATTAAGTGTTAAGATGAAAGTGTTTTGCTACTGCTTCTGGGATAGATTCCTCACCTCTCAGACTACTCTATGACCCTGGGCTTTCTGATGCTCTCCTTTCCCAGGGTTAACTAAATTTGACTGCCTTTGTTTTTTTCAGATCAGTCAAAACTGGCTAGGTGCTGTTACCTCTGAGGTGAAATATATATGTGTTCCCATGTCAGGTGTGAAAGATCAGGTCTACAAGTGGTTCAGTTAACTGATTTATTGCTATAGCCTAGCCTAGTGGTTCTCAACCTTTTCTTCTCCACAGACCCGCTTTATATACCTTTTGTGGTCATGGACCATGGCCATGGACCACCAAGACTTAACTCAAGATTTAAATCACAATATTTCTTCAAGTCTGTGACAACATTGCGGCCCCACAGTGATCTGTGGATCACAGGTTGAGAACCACTGCTATAGGCTATGCACCAGAATTTTCTCAACTAACAGCACCTGCTTAGATTTATATGAGAGTCAATGGAACTTAGCGTATATTGGATGTGGTCAGCTTGTGGCCACGTAGGGATTCGAGTCTAATCTCTCTTTTACCCCACCCCCAGGTTCTTCCAGTCCTTCTCCCACGTCCCAATATGTTTTTCACCCAGTCATCTGAATTTGGAATTTCCACTCAGTTGGCCACAGGAACCCCGAGAAAGCCTTGGTTATTCCCCCTCCAGTGGCATCTCCAAAACTGTCTACAGACAACTTATTGTTGTATCTGATATCTAGAGAATAATCACAGCTGTTGAACAGTTTATTTTAATGTTAATGATACAATTTAAATTCAATTAAATCTTGCTTTTTGACCCAATTCTATCTAGTTCTTTGCCCTTTCCTCCCTCTCATGTAGATATGTAGATCTTGCATGTGACTCAGGCACCAGGTGCGGTCCTAAGGCCAAAAGATATTGTACATCCCTGCTGCAATCAGTTGTGTAAGTGCACACCGGCAGTAGGAGCCATGGGTTAGCAAGGGATTGAGCAGCTACTCTTACTTTTCTCTAACTATTATCAAAAAATGTGAAGAAAGTTGAGGTGGGAGGGAAGGAGGGACAAAGGGAGGGAAGGAAGGAAGGAAGGAAGGAAAATGTAATGTACAAATTACATAATATCAAGTATATTTATCTGTATATCTTGGGAGGACCAAGCTCTCCAGATAATTGTCTCTTCTAGACTTGATTCCTGGCATGGATTTGATAACTAGAACAATGGAGGCAAAAGATGTTATCGCTGAGCTAAAATAAACTGTGCATAGGCAGCAGAGTCCACAGAGGTGTGTTAAAATAGACAAGATGGTGAGTAGTCCATCACAAGGCAAACCCTGCCCCTTTTGCACATTCGTCATTGTACAAGGTTTCAGAGGGGCGAGTCTTACGCTTCATCCACCATCTTTCTGATCTTGACACACACATAGGCCCACATGTGTAAGATATTGCTAGAGATTTTATTGCTTTCAGCCAAAAAAAGCACTTTCCTTAGCTATAGAATCGGCTAAGAAATCGACCTAAGTTAATAACTTGCAGTTCTTGTTTGCTTTCTTCCTGCCCTTAAGGGAAGGTGCTTGAAAGTATATGATACATTTACCTCAGAATAATTAGGTTTTAATTAAACCTTAATTCTATTTTTTTAAGGCTATTCAAGCTGGAACAATCAAGTGCAATTTTCGTGGAGTAGCCCTTGGTGATTCATGGATTTCTCCTCTAGGTACATTCATGTGGAACTAAGTACATCTGTGCTATTGTGCATCTTCCAATGTATTTCTTGCCTCTTTCTGGCAAAATCTGAAGAAAAAATAAAGACAATTTGATATTCAGTACCAGCAACCAGGTTCAAGTGAAATTGTGGAGGCTTGGTTTTATCCCAGCTTGACTTCAGGTGCCTCAGGATTAAAATCTCTTCCCTCCATTTTATCTGTATATTGAAATTATTCTGTTCTGCTTTTCTGTCAGATAGTTTTTGGAATCTGAGGAAGTTTACAATGGAGGACTTGATGCTCTCTGAGTTTAGTTGTTTGCTTGCAGATGTTTTATTACATAACTAAATAATACTGATGATATTACCTAGTTAAGTACTGAAATGTCTGCAAGCAAACAACTAAGTTCAGAGAACACCATGGACTCTGCAGTTCAACCCTGAGCTATAGATATTCTCTTCTATTGGAAGTTTAATATTCCAGCCACTGAGAATTATATATTTAATTATATATGGCTTTCTGGTTGGTTATTTTAAGTATGATTAAACTGGGCACTTTTTATCTTAAAGGAAAAAAGGTATTGCATGTTCGAATAGGAGAACCAACACGTTCCTGATTACTGTAAAAAGAATGTTGTTACTAGATACACAGTGGCAGTTGTCAGTAAGAATCTGGGTTGGGCTTCCCATGTGATTTGGAAATAGTCCAGGGGTTTTACTCCCCCCTCAAAATCTTGGCTGTTCTTCAGAATAGCAACATGAATAAGATATTTTTAAAAATGTGAATAGTTTAATGTCATTTTCCTCAGCTTGATAGCATCAAGATACATTAGTTAGAATACAGCCTTTCAGCACCCAGCCAGCATGGCTATCACTGCAATGTGGTGATGATGGAAATCTTGTATCAATGCTTCTGGAAAGCACCAGATTTTGATACCTTGGAATAAATAATAAACAGTTTGGTGCTAAATTAGATTGCCATTGATTTAGAGATTTTGTGAGGCTCCACTTTAAAAACTAGGAGTTATTTCTGTGCATTTATACTGCTGCCTCCTCTTCCTTCTCCTCTTTTTGAAAAGCTGCCAATTTTAAAATAGCTAGGATTGATTTTATTTCTGTTCTTATTTTGTCTTGATGCAGAAAATGCTCAGGAACTTAAAAAGTTACTGCCTGCTTTAAACAGAGAAATATGGGAAAGATACTAAAGTTTATGCCCACTATTCTGTTTTATTTTTTAAAAAGCCAATCAATGTTTGTTTCTTTTAGATTCTGTGCTTGCTTGGGGGCCTTACCTGTATAGCACTGTAAGTATATATTCCATATCTTTAAAAAAATTATTAATGTTCTTACAACTACAAGGAAGAATACCGTGTTTCTCCAACAATATGGCCTCCACCAATAGGAAGGCCCAGCATGATTTCTAGGCATGAGGTGAAATTAAGCCCCACCCCCAAAATTTAGGCCTATTTAATCCATGTGTTTCCCCACCATTTCTCACATCATTCGTTAAAACTACACGAGGTGAAAAGAAATGGAGGGGGAGAAAACTTGAATTTAGGAGCGCCCTGCAGGTAGCCTAGGCTAGAATACCCCAATCTACTACTGATAGAACATTGTCTGATAGAAGCCCCCAAAGGCAGAGTCACCAGCTGCTTCTATCAGCCGGTAGAAGCGGCCTCGGGGCGAGCGACCATGCACACTCCCCTCGCCTCGAAGCCGTTTCTATCAGCCGATGGAAGCTCCCCAAAGGCCAGCCGCTTCTATCGGCTGGTAGAAGCAGCCTCGGGGCGAGCGCCCCATGCACACTCCCCTCCCCTCCCCACAAAGCCATTTCTGTTGGCCGATGGAAGCTCCCCAAAGGCAGAGTCACCAGCTGCTTCTATCGGCTGGTAGAAGCGGCCTTGGGGTAAGCGCCCACATGCACTCCCCTTTCCACGAAGCTGTTTCTATCGGCCGATGGAAGCTCCCCGAAGGCAGAGTCACCAGCTACTTCGGGGCGAGGCGTGGCTGCCCACGGAGCGCTCCTGACAAGAGCACCCCATGCACACTCCCCTCGCCACAAAGCCGTTTCTATCTGCCGATGGAAGCTCCCCAAAGGTAGAGTCACCAGCCACTTCTATCAGCCGGTAGAAGTGACTTCGTGGCGAGGAGAGTGTGCGTGGGGCGCTCGCCCTGAGGCCGCTTCTACCGTCCGATAGAAGCGGCTGGTGACTGACTTTAGGGAGCTTCCATCGGCCGATAGAAAAGGCTCGTGGCGAGGGGAGTGTGTGTGGGTGCTCGCCCCGAGGCCGCTTCTACCGTCCAAAAGATTTCCTCCCCCACGCACACCCCCACCTAGAGCACCCCATGCGCACTCACCTCTCCATGAGGCTGTTTCTACCAGCCGATAGAAGCGGCTGGTGACTCTGCCTTTGGGGAGCTTCCATCGGCCGATAGACGCAACCTCATGGAGAGGTGAGTGCTCAGGGGGCGCTCTAGGTTGGGGTGTGTGTGGGGGAGGAAATTAAGTCATTCCCGAAAAGACGTCTTAGCTGTTTTTCCGGGGCTAAAAAAAAAAAAAAGACCCGGCCTTATTTTATGAGAAACATGGTAGAAAAACTCAAAGTTGCAACACAGTTTGTACAAAACATAAAACTAATAAAAGAAGGGGAGAAAGAGAAAAAGAAAAATAACTTGAACTATTCTACTTTAATAAATAGGGTAATAAACGTTATTATGCAGATATGATAATTACCTTTATATCAAAATTCATGCAAGATTGTTGTTAAAGCACAATTTAATCCTTAGCCATGCAACATCTAATGGATCTGTTTTGCTGCCAATAAACAGTCAACTCAAGCCTGGGAGTTTAGCTTGAAGCACGTGCTAAATGCTTTCCTTTTTTTTTTGTTCTTCTCTGATTTTTGACTTCATGAGATTTGTCATGTTGGATCAGACCAGAAATGTCCCTCTATTCCAGTTCCTAGAGGCAAAGCCTGCATGCTGTGCTTCTGGAGAACTCCAAAGATGGGATTGAAGTCAGCAGGTTTATAGAATGTTATGATCAACATTGATTGCTTAGAAACAGAGGCTAGAAGGAAGTAAACTCTTGGACCTCAAAAGCTACATCTGCTTTCAGTGCATACTTGGGATCTACTTATGTGTTCATGCATGCAAGCACATATTCTCCAGTGCCCCACTTTCTGTACAGCTCCTCCAGCTGTCTTTAGCTGTTTTTGATCCTGAAGAAACCACCTAATGGCTTTGGCATTAAACTTGGCTTCAGTAGCAGAGTCTCAAGTGTCCTGAGATTTATCTACCCTGCAAACAGGCCATAAGGTAAAACCCACTTAAAAAGAAACTATATAAAGCATCGGTGGTAAATACAAACCCTTTAGAGCATGACAATTCTCTTTACCAAGGACTTTCAATAGTTTGTGTTTGTTGACTTTGTTCAGATTAATAAAACCATTTTATTAGTCTTCTAATATATCGTTCCAGGTAGCCTCTACATTTTCTTCGAAGCCATTGCAAATAATATCTTGTTAAAATACACATTGACATTGGGGCGGTTTACTGCCCAGCTTATATTACTTTGAAAGTACTTGAGGCATTTTATGCAACGTTGGTTCCGGATTTCTTTTTTTCCCCTTACTGCTGCATCCCCATCCCACTCCTTGTACTGCAGTCTTTCCTAGATGATCAAGGCTTGAAGGAAGTCACTACAGCTGCCAAGAAGATCCTGAATGCAATAAATACAGGGGCATTTAAGTTTGCTACACTGCTTTGGGATAAAGCAGAGGATATCATAGAAAAGGTAAAGAGATTGATTTAATTGATTGTGTGCCATCAACTTGATGGCAGCTTCTAGGGACTAGACCAGGGGTGGGCAAACTATGGCCCGCAGGCCACATCCGGCCCGTTGGTCTGTCCAATCCGGCCTGCCCCTGAAAAAAAATCGCTGGGCGATTTTTGCCCTGCGCCGCGTGGCCCCCAAAGCTGCAAAACAGTGCGGAGCGCTCTGGGGGTAGGAAAGAAAAGAAGAACTTTGCAAAGGCCTCGGCTGGGAGATTGAAATCACCTTCGAGTGCGACCTCTCCGAAGGTGAGTCCCCGCCGATCCCCCTTTTTTTTCCGGGGCTTCCAGGCTTAAACTTTGCAAAGGCAAAGTTTGCAGGCGGGAGCGTCTTCCGGCCGAGGAGCGGGAAGGGTTCCGCCCGGCAGGCGGGCGGGCTGCTTGCAGCGGGCTGCTTGGAGCCACCTAAAGCTAGGCCGCTGCTGGTGGAGCCTTGCCCTGCCTTGGTGCCCCATTTCCCGGCTTGGCGGTCCTGCTCGGGCGGCACTTTAAAAGCCTGCTCCCAGCACCCGAGCAACTTCCCAGCAACTTGCGGCTTCCTCTTTCCTCACGGGCGCTCGTGCCTGGCCCCGAGCTGCGCGGCGGAGGGGAAGCCCGGCAGGCGGGCGGGCTGCTTGGAGGCGACCCGGCGGTACTCCGGCAGCAGCAACAGGCAGTTCCGCCCGGGCTCCGCTCAGGTGTCCGGCTGGGGCTGTCAGGAGTTGCTACCGCCAGCACAGCTCCGCGCGGCTCCAGTCCCGCGTTGCCTTGGGAAGGAAAAGGCAAAACCAGGAGCCGCTGAGCCTGAGCCTCCGGTGCCGCTGCTGCCGTTGCAAAGCACCACCGCGGCTCTTCCTTTTTGCCTTTCCCTTCCCGAGGCAACGCAGGACTGGAGCCACACGGAGCTGCGCCAGCGGTAGCAACTCCTGACTCAGGGGGCCTCCGAGGGGAGGGGAAGGAGGAGAAGAGGGGGGGAAAGGGTGGGGGGGCGATTCCCAAAAAATCTTGTGCTGACCCGGCCCGTCTGTCAAATTTTAAAAGTCAATGCGGCCCCCGAGCCAAAAAGTTTGCCCACCCCTGGACTAGACAGACAGATTTTGCTTCTGACAATTTGTCTCCAGCTTGGTCTTCAGGGTCTCCCCATGGTGCACTGATCATCACTGTAACTGAGTCCATCCACCTCTTATCTTCTTTCCTTTCCATTTTCCCAGCATTTTACACTTCTAAGAGAGCTAGGTCTTCACTTAATGTAAAGCCTAGTTACTAGAGTCTTGACTGAAAACTTTGGATGGATTTCTTCTAAGATCCATTTGTTTCTTTTCTTGGCTATCTAAGGTATTCTCAGGAGTCTTTTTCAAAGTTTAGAGCAAATCATGCCTTTTGCTGGAGGATCTCTATTTTTAATGTCATTTCTTTTCTTGTCTAGAACACAAATGGTGTGAACTTCTATAACATTCTAACCCATGACTCTACAAAGGACACCGCTCTTTCATCTGCTGCCACTGAAACCATCCCATTTTGTAAGTTGAGTGAGAACTCTGCAATGCCAGAAACCTCTTTTTAGCAAGACATAGTAGTTTTTTAGAAGATCAAAATATAGTCCAGGATCTCCAAAATTGGTCCACAAGTCTTAAAGTTGCCAAGTTTGGAGAGCCCTGGTGTAGCCCCTTTACAGATGCTAAAATGGGTTTAGCAGTTGTTATCTTTTTCACAGAAAATATTTGAAACTCCAGTTTATAATGTCTGAACTCACCACACACTAGCCCTCTCAATATATATATATATTTCCCAGCATCTGGTGGGTTACGTGATATACCTATTGCAACTGTGCAATGGAGATCAGAGCCAAATAGGAAGTAGCAACCTTCAAATTCCCATTCCCTGCTCCAGTGCTCTAAATGAAGTTGCTGAAGTAAAGAAAGTTTCAGGAACTCAGCAATGGAATCTTGCATGAAAAGACTACGGTTCTGATTATCTAAAAAAGCAATTGTTTTGTTATTGTTATATTGGATCTCCATATAAGTCCCAAGCACTACAGACTGCCAACTTCCAAATTACACAAAATGCTTCAGCTGAGCATTACAAAATTAATACATTAAAAAAATCAGGGTAAAGATATTTTTTAGTAGAAAGCATGGCATTAAAGTCATGTCAGCAATTTTATTTTTTTGCTTGATGAATGGGATAAGCGTTTGCAATTTAGAGCCATAATGTATATAAAAGATTTGGGGTTTGACAAAGGAGTGCTAGACAGAATCTAGTGTTCCCTACTTCTGAATGGATCTGATTACATTTTGGTAGGCTGCCACTGATTTACTGTTCAGAGGCCCTTGAACTGATGGTCCTTGACATGACTGGAGCCATATTTCTGTAATTTAATTTTAATTTAATTTAATTACACATTGAACTGCTGCCTTATTGGGGCTTGGGAGGGGCAGGAGGATTTTTTTTTTGGTTTGTTTTATTTTGTGTATTTATGATTTGGTTGTTGCAATTGATTGTGTGTGAGAGAGAGGGTGGGGGAGGGAGAGGGTGGGTGGGAGGGAGGGAGAGAGAGAATACACAGAAGATAGAATATTAGCATTGGAAGTGACCTTGGAGGTCTTCTGCTCCAACCTCCGCTGAAGCAGGAGACCCTATACTATTTTAGACAAAGGTACTCAGTCTCTTGTTTAAAATCTCTACTGATGGAATACCCACAAAGAGAGAAAGAAATTATTTTGGAGTTTCTGCAGCAAAGATTAGGGAATTCATCTTTTTAAAATAAAATAAAAAATACAGGTAAACATCAAACGCAGTCTTCTTTCTCTTCTTTCTTCAGTAAAATTGTTCCAGCGTCATGTGAAAAATCAAATTAAAGACAAGCTGAATGACCTGATGAATGGGCCCATCCGAAAGAAGCTGAAAATAATTCCAGACTACGTTAAATGGGGAGGTATTTAATATCTACTGACTCCATCTAATACTCATATAGTTTCTTGTATATCATACTTCACAGGAGAATTAAGAACTTGGTGAAGAAGCTCTTATCTTAGGAAACTATATATTTAGATTATATTAGTTATGATTGAACTTCAGTGGCAAAATGTGTTTTATCAATCTTCAGTAACTTATCTGATATGCTGTCTTTAAGGGGAACTGGGGATATGTATTTATTTATTTATTGGGCCACTCATCTCATTGATAACAACTCTGAGTGGCTTACAATAACTTCCAAAGTGATGGTTCTCATGAATTTAACTAGAAAAGAGTTATTTTACTTTTACTTTTTTACACTTTAACCCAGGGGCGTCAAACTCAAGGCCTACAGATCATATCCGGCCCACAGGGTGCTTAAATCCAGCCCGTGGGGCCAGCCTGGAAATATGAAAGGACCAGCCCGCGGTGCCTTGGGTGGCTAAAATGGGTCGTGTATGCCCCCCAGCACCTAGTTTTCACCCTCCATGGCTTCCTACAGCAATCTGCCACCCCAAAATGGCCTGAAAAATGGGCCCAAAACAGGACAAAAATCAGGCTGATAACGGCCAAAACCCCCTACTCGCCAACCCCTTACCCTGGCTGGCCCATAGACAAGAACTACAATGCTAATCCGGTCTTCAAAGAAATCCAGTTTGACACCCCTGCTTTAACCTATAAAAATTACATCAAGAGAACTGTTGTACAGTTACATGTACATGTACAAAAGCAACATCAGCAGCAATAATAGAAGTTAAAATGTTGAACTTGGATCTCTTGAGTCAGGCCTCAGCCCTGGAGGTTGTTTGATGTCAGCTGGACTTATATTGCAGAGTTAATGTTGCCGAGAAAAAATGGAGGCAGGAATGCTAACTGTGTTGCCTTGAACATCTGGAGGAAATCAATGCAAAGCTATAAATCTGAATAATATCATTTATTTAATAAGAGATGATGATGGAGCAAGGTTTTTAGGAAATAAGGATATCAGTTTCCCTCTAGAATTACTAACATACCAGTCATCACCTTTCTCTTAACATGGGAACTATCTAGACAGCCTTCCGAATCTGGCAGTGACCAGACATGTAGATATCAAAAACTCTTAGCAATGGCCATGTCATTTGGGAAATTCTGGGAGTTGAATCTGGATGGGAGTGTTACAGAAGATTGGAAGAATGACTCAGACTGGCACGCTATTCAAAATCGTCCCTCAGAACAGGAGTCTCCGAGAGTGACAACCTGACAACTTATGGACTTCAACTTGCTGACTGAGGAATTCTGGGAGTTGAAGTCCACAAGCCATAAAGCTGCCAAGGCTGGAGACCTCTGCTTTAGAATGTTTGGATATTCTACACTATGTATTTGTAGTAATAACTCCCTATTTTTTAGGGGAAACTGCAATTCTAGTTCTCTGTACATGTGAAGATTTTTTTCATCTCTAGGTTAAGAATCTTTTCATCAAATGACAACTCCCCAAATTCTTTGGAGAACACTACAGCAATTGTTAAACTGGCACAAAATAAATAGAAATTCCATGTACAGATATACAGTACAGACAGATACAAAACTATTAAATCATAGTTGTAGAATTGGACAAAAACATCTGTGCATGCTCCTCTTATATTTTTAAAATGGTGTTAACTTGTCTCATTTCCAGTCACAATCAGGTATGGGGGGGGGGATTCCCCAGATTAAAAGCCAATTGGGTTCTAAACCTGACTGAAGTTAATTACTATTTCAAATTCTATTTGCAACTATGAAGTTGTTAGAATTTCTGGGTAGCTCTGAGATTCAGGTTATAAACCCCAAGCTCCTTCCCCCCACCCCACTTTTTAATGCTGGCTCCAAAATTCAGTAGTGGATCATAGTTTCCTCTAATTTAGAAACTGGAAATACATGAAAAATATTTTTTTGCAGATTAAAATGAAAAGGAAAAAAAAATACTTTATCCCAACCCACAGCTGCAGAAAGAAATGGAGATGCCAGATCCTGGCAATGAGGCAAATGTGTCTTTTTTGCCCCCCCCCTCTCTCCCTCCCTCCCTCCCTCCCTTACTCTCACACACATACACACATGGCCCTTTCCTTTATCAATAACACTGTATATGACCTTCAACTGGCAAAAGGTTATTTACCTCTTCTTACTCTTTTCTTATCACTCTGCAGGGCAATCAGCTGGTGTATTTATGAATATGGCTGAAGACTTTATGAAAAATGCAATTGATATTGTAGACAGCTTGCTCGAGGCCAACGTGAACGTAACTGTATACAATGGGCAGCTAGATCTCATTGTTCCTACAATAGGTAAGGGTTTTTTTCAATGGGAATGAGCTTGGTGGAGACAGCAAAGCAGGTCATTATTGTTAGGTGCAACTGTATACAAATAGTCCTCAACTTACTACCATCATGGAGCCTGCCCGCCATGATCGTAACTCGTGAAGATCCTAAAATGGGTCACTTATGTGACTGACCTGATTTTATAGTCTTTTCTTTGCGGTGTTCATTAAATGAATCTTCACTTAAGCAAACCAATGGTTTTCAATGGGTGTGTTTTTGTTGAAAACTGGAAGTAAATGCCAAAAACGGCATGATGGTAGAAGGATGATGGAAGGATGGTAGATAGCATAGCTCTAGAAGGAAATGGGGACTACAGAACCCAGAAATAGTGGAAAGAAATGAGCTGGGTTAGAAGAGAGTATTGAAGAGAGAAATACAGTGAGACATAAATGGTATCGGAGGCTAAACCTTTTGTATAGGAGGGATATTTTGCTAGGAGATAGGATCAAGGCATTGTCTTGCGAATAAATAAGAAGTAACTGGAATAAGCTTGCTTGTAGAGTTTATACATTCCCATTCATCTTAAAATGGAATTCCTTCAGGTGAGTAGTTATTTGGATTGCTTTTTGCTTTTAATGATGAAATGCTCCTTAGCTGAAGTCAAAGTGCTGGGTTTATTTTCTAAGCCCTCTACATTTCTACTTTGCTCCATTTTGAGATTTCATCAGTCTTTGCAGGCATATGCTGAACTCTAATAAATTCTTCTTCTTTTCAATTGCAGTTTATTAACCCAGGTTAAATGATTAACATACAGTATAACATTAATCTAGGCAAGCAGTATGCTGGGTTTTTCTTTCTTTAATGAGATATGTAAACCAGGCCCTTGTAGTATGGTCAACAAATCTAGGTAAACAAATCTAGGCTGAGTAATGGGTATGAATGAAGCCTGTATTATCTGCCCACTCAGCTGAATTTAGTCTAAGTTCTTGTGATGGAAGGCTGTGTTGGTCCTTTTGAGCAAAAATGACTGGAGCTTTCAGGTCTGTTTGATCAAAGGCATTCACATCAATGTCGGTAGACATAGACTAAGTTATGGAGTAATTCAATCTCCTAGAACTGGGCAAAGACAGTATGCTTATTTAGATTACAATTAGACGATCTTCTTGGCTAAATTAAATCCTTCAGTAATACAAATAAGCATATTTATTTATGTATAAAATGTATTCATTCCCTACTCCCAAGGGATCCAAAGCAGTGTACCAGTGACTTCACACCATTTTCCATGTTTATACTGTTCTTTTCTATTCAGTGACAATATTGATTCCAGAGCCCTGACATTGGGATAAGATAACTTCATCAGGGTCTGTCTGGCAATGGTAAATCAGCATCAGCCAGTTAAACCATGATGATTTCAAAGATGAGTTCCTGGGGAATGATAACAATGATTGAGATAGCCAACATGACAGCAGGTGCCTGGCTATATGTTATACACATACATGCACACATTGCTAAGATGTGTATGTTTTTAGTGCTTTACTAATTCTACAGTGGGTCATTGTGGGTAATTGCAACCAAGATTTTTAATAACTCTCTTAGGTGATTCATCTTGCATTGAAAGATTTTTTCCCCTTTTATTTATTTGTTTTACAAATCCGCATCCTGCTCTTTCCAGGACTTTTTATTGCTTTATTTTATTTTGACGGCTAGCAACAGTACTTAGATCTATATACTGCCCCATAGTGCTTTACAGTATTCTCTGAGTAGTTTACAATGTCAGCATTATTGCCCCCCCCAAAATCTGGGTCCTCATTTGCCAACCTCGGAAGGACAGAAGGCTGAGTCAACCTCGAGCAGGTCAGGATTGAACATCTGACAATGAGCAGAGTCAATCTGCGATACTGCATTCTAACCACTGTGCTACCATGGCTCTCCAGCCTGGTAGGTAGGGGATCATCTGTTCAAACGAGCAGTTTGTTGCAGGATTTTTTTATGGTAGAGTTACTGATCACCGTTCTCTGTTTAGGGCAAGAAGCTTGGCTCCGGAAGCTAAAATGGCCCAAACTGAAAGAATTCAATGCACTGAAGTGGCAACCTTTGTACACCTGCCCAGAATGCACAGAGACGGCTGCTTTTTATAAATCTTACTGTAATCTGAGCTTCTTCTGGATCCTCAAGGCTGGCCACATGGTAAGTCCTTTCCATGCCTTCAGAGTAAGCAGAGGACATCTTCTGCTTTGTATGTTGTAAGAATCAAAACATTTTGTAGAAACAACTCTGCATAGCCCAAAGACAAAAGAATAGGGCAGGTATGATGATACTTACATCCCTTTCCATGAAAGAGAGAGGCTACCAATAAAATAAAAATTTTGCAAAAAAGAAAGAGAGGAGAAAGATTGCCATAAGCAAGGCTTTTTCATTTGATCATAACACATGGAGATTATTTTTTCAAATACTTTTTATTAAAGAATTTAACAATGCTAAAAAGTGAAAGTGGTTTTCCCATAATCCTACCTTAATTCCAAAGATCATTGTCATTTCGAACCAAGTGGTGCCATAAAGTTCATAAAGGGTTTCCAGAATTTTATAGAAATGTTTTTTTATTTTAACCCCAATGAAAGAAGTCAATTGAATGTTCCATTGTTTCGTTTCTAACGATCTTGCTCTTCAATTCATCAAGTTGCTATCATAGGGTTGAATCTTTAATTGAATTATCTTTTTCTCAGTCTCAAAATTATTCCAGGTCATTTTTCATCTCCTGGCTTATCATTTGTGTTTTCACTTTGTCATTTCTGTCTTATTTTTCTTTCTCTTCTAAAGAAACAATTTTTTACTTAAAACATTTATACATCAGCTGGGATTTGTTTTGCCTCTTCATCCTGACAGTTTAGAATTCCCTCCATTATAGTCTCTTCCATGTCTTTCTTCCTTACAGTCTTCAAAAATGCATTTGCAGGTGCAGAAATTATTTCTGCCAATTTAGTTTTATGTTTCTCTCACAGTTCTTAAAAAAAATCCTTTGAAGTATCTCAAGCATCATAACTTTGTCACTTTATAAATTTCACAGCTCTTCTTTCAGTTCAAAAATAGAAGCCAGGTTCTCCCTATTGATTTATTTTTTTTAACTATTCCTGTCTGGAACTTTAGCCTTCTTTAGGGTCCCATTTCCCTAATCATAAAGTCTCAGATTTCTTTGTTTCCTTATTTTCAAATTTCAACCAATCATTTTGGTTGGTTCCAGATAGATTAAACAATTTATGTTTCTACAAGAATTTTTTTTATTGAGTTATTTCAAGAACCTTAGCAAAAGGCCTAATATTTCAAATTTGCTTGTTCTCTTAATTCATTTATAACTTTCTTGAATTACATTTATGTTCTTCACATTTTTTTAGGCCAGTAGCTAGTATTACCTTTACTTTGGGATGAAGTTTTATTCACCAGACTTGTTGCTTGGAAGACCTTTACTAACTTTAAAATCACTATAAATCCAAAAATGGCTAATAAGTGAGGATGGATGAACCCAATGTCCTTAAAGACTCCATGGTGGTTGATAACTTGATGGCTTCCCTTATCTCCCAGTGCTCCGACCTGTGGGTCGACCCCTGTCCTGCAGTCCCTTCATGAGGAGTGGCTGCCTGGAGCGATCTCTCGTCCTCTCCTTATCTGGAGAGGCTCTGTTGACTGAGCTTGTCGGTCTTGGTCACATTCTCACCTCCATTCCATCAGAGACATCTAGTTTGCCATTCCCTGTGGTGTCTCCTTTGGATAACTCCCCCAACTCTTCCTCAGAGGCTGGCTCGAGGGAGAAGGAGATCATTCCTGGCACATCAGGAACTGCCAGCAGAACAGGCTTCGGCTGGAGATAATTTGCAGGCCAGCGAAGAAGAGGGGGAGAAGCTGCCTATCATGGTAGATCTCAGAGCACACAGGGGAGAGAAACAGGTTTTCCAGATTGCTTGGCAACAGGCCTCGCCCCTCTTGATGGGCTGATCAGGAGCTATTTAGCATGGCAGGCAGAGGGAGGCATTGCTGGGAGCAATGTGTGTGTGTGTTGTGACTGTGTGCTTGTTTGTTTTTCCTGAGACTCTGAATTTCTGTAACCCATGAGCTAATGTGGATGTACTTTAAGTTTTGCCTAGGAGTGCTTTATGTTCGTTTATTGGACTCGCTGTTTGAGCAGCTTGCTATTTGTGTTATGGACTGATTGGCCATTGCCTGGGGAATTAATCTAGGTTTGCTCTTGGCTGGCTTTGGTTGGTACAATTCTAAAGCTGGGTGAAGAGAACTACTGGGGGAAGACAAATAAAACCCTCCATAAACCACACTGACGTGCCAGTGTGAGTGAGTGGGACAGCCCATTCCCTCACCCAGTTGTTCCTTCACTCAGATGAAGATCCTGAGGCAGAGTTCCCCAACCTTTTCAGCTTTGCAGATCATCGGGAGGGGATTATTTTGCACATGCGCTTGCCCGCTGCTCATGGGATGCTTACACGAGTTCGCCCACCACTTCTGTGCCCCATTTCCAAAAGGCTAAGGCCTGGTAGTAGGCCACGGCCTGGGGGTTGGGGGCCCCTGTCCTAAAGAACTATGGTTAACTGTCTATATTTGAGATAATGGAGTCTAAAAATATCTTGTAGTTTTACCGAAACGAGCAAGACATTCTATTTCCTTTTTTATTTTATTTTTTCTCTGGCCTCATTGAACAATGAAAACAGTAAATGAATAATATTACAAAACTTAAGGAGCACCCTTTTTTTTAAAATGGCTACTCCTGTTCTTGTGGCTTTCTGGAAAATCCCCTGCCGTTGGCTAACCACTGATGTTTTTTTGTTCTCAGGTCCCGGCTGACCAAGGTGACATGGCATTGAAGATGCTTAGGATGGTCACCCAACAAAAGCAATGACTAAATTAGAGCCAGCTGGCTTGGCTCCTGTTTGGAATCTTTTTGTGGCACCTCAAAAGCTGAAGGAATAATTATACCATTGTGTTTTGATTTTCTCAGGTATTATGTAAGGCACTTGAAGGAGACAAAGATGGAAATAATTCACTTTCTTCCTGTGGTAACTTTTTTTGTAAAATGTGAAGATCTCTTGATCCACTTCTGGTTAGCATAATCCTTAAATGCTGGAAACAGAAGGTGTGAGTAAATCAGGGATTTGTAGGCTATGTGTGGCCTCTATGTTGTAGCCTTGGAAGATCCTCTTTTTGTCCTGCAACATCTGGCAAAGTTGGTGAGATATCAGCAATATCCTTTTGGGATAGGTTTTGCCAAAAGGTAGTAGAGATGGACCGATCAAATTCCCAGAGTCAAAATGCATCAATTTGCAACTTCTAAACACTCCCAAATAGCCCAAAAATGTCCCCCATCCAGGCTGAACCCCATTCTCCTGCAGAGATCATTGTCCTAGCCTCCAAATAGTCTGGGGTAGCTCCCAGGACAAGAGTGGTTTCCCACTCTTGAAGTAATGTTTTCTCAATGGCAACGTTTCCTTTGGATTGATTTTTGTCCTGGGCATGGGAAGCCAGAGTATTTTTCAGCTCAAGCACTTTTGTACCTGCTCAGGCAATACACTTCCCAGTGGTTGCCCCAGACCTCATGCCCAAAGCCATCACCCTTTTTTCTATCAGCCTTTGCAGCTTGATTGAAAACAAGGTTGCATTCAGGTCTTATTTAAATGAGATTTGCTTCCAGGAAAGTATATTCAGGATTGACAGGCATAAGTCCGTCAGCATACAAGGCCTCATTTCTAAAGTAGAAGCAGTTGTTTTTCTTGGCGTCCAGTGAGGAGGAAATATAGGAATAACAGCAACCTGGAGCAAAGGTTAGGTCCAAATATGGACCTAACATGATCCTCTCTGTTCTTTTTTGACAAGCATACATTCTATGATTTAGGGGGACATAATTACCTTAATTACCTTTTAAGTGACTTGCCAGTTTGGGATAGCTAGTTCTGTTGTTCAGAAATCCAACGCAGGTGTTTTGTTTTGTATTTCTTTCTTTTGACTCATGATTTAAGTTCTCTGTTCAAGCGATATAACCAACTGAGGGGGCTTTGCAGAGCATTTGTTTCATTTGCATTGTTTACATACTTACCGATAAAATGAAGTAAAATGCTGAGTCAGGAAGTGCCAAAGCCTATGTGTGGATAATAATGGCAAAATTCCATGAGGTAGGTGGATGGACTTGTCTGTCTCTAATGCTGAGAAAAAGCAAATACACAAACTTAGTTCAGAATTATCCTCCTCTGGCTGTCCCACTTGTCATTCTGTGTGAGGAGTCGCTATGTAGGCTTCTCATATTGGTACTGAAGTACATCTCTTGAACCGGGAAAGCACTGTGTCTTCCTTAAAGTTGCCAACTGTTGGAAATGAAACTGATATCCTTTATACACAGTTCAATGTCTGTCTAAAGAAATTCATTCCATGGTGGTGAAATTGCCTTTTACGTGTATTATATATATGTACGTGAAATCTGAAAGCCAAAGACGTGGCCTTAATAAAGACTGATTTCCCTCATACTTCATCAGCTAATGATGAATCTGGGTGTATCTACAAATGTATCTGGGTAATGGAGCTGAGATTTTTTTTTTTAAAGGATTATGTAGTGTTCTCTTCCCCCTCATCCGCCCATTTGAGAGCTGTGGCAGAAATTTAAGTTTCTCTGCCTCAACCTCTCTTCCCCTGAACGTAGCATACAGCTCTGTTCTTTTAATCTTGCCTGGGCTTGCATGTTAAGAAGACTTTTCAATGATCCCTCCTAAAGTGCAATTAACTATTAGGCCACCTGGTGGGGGAAGAGATCTTTAAATAGGACTGGGCCTGGAATACCACTGATCTGCCTAGTCCAGTATTGTTATCATTGGCTTGGGTACATGATTTATTAAATAAAATACAATTGACTGGAGTTTGCACAACATACTAAGCCGGTGTGGCCAACCTTGATAGCTTTAAGACTTGTGGACTTCAACTCCCAGAATTCCCCAGCCATGTTGGCTGAGGAATTCTGGTTGTTAATGTCCACAACTTTTAAAGTTGCCAAGCTTGGACACATCTGTGTTAAGCCATGAACTATGGGTTCACTCAATAAATCCCTGCTGTATAAGCTTGATGTGTTTCGTGAACTGGTGGACCTCCTGAGTTTCAGGCAGAAAGTTTACCACCCTGACTTGGTAATGCCAAGCTTTGGCAACTGAGATCATGCAGGGTAGGATCTATACCAATAAGCTGCAGCCTGAACTGGATTAAGAAAGCTGTGCGCTACTTTGTGAAGAATTACCCTCTCACCCCTCCCCCAGGGGAAGGCAGGAATGTGTGAGGACACTCCGCAACCTCACAAGATGGTTGTGAGGCAAACAGGAGGAAGGCATAGTAGGTACAGTTGCCACCTTGAGTTATTTATAAAAAATGAAGGTGGGATATAAATAAAAATAAAAGCAGTCACTAAGTGTTGTGACATGGGTTTTGAATTTGCTTTTCCGTGCCTGTTTGCAATGGAATGAAATCAGGAGTTGGAACAAGGAGCAATAGCACAGCAAAGTGAGAGAGGTTCTGATGCTGTATCTTGATTTGAGCTCAGTGCTCTTAATAGAGATCTTAGAAGCGATTGGCCAAGCATTTGTTTTGAAATACCCGAAACAAAAAATCTTCCACTTTGTCTAGAGTTGCCCTACGAGGTCCCTACTGCAATATTGCCCCACATTGTTCTTTCAGCTAATGCACCAGAGGGAGGAACATGAAACATGTACAAAATGCCACCCCACAGAGATTCTGAAGGCACAACCCTGGTCTTCAAACAGTGGGATTCCACAGCTCTTTGATGAGACAACCACAACGGGAAAAAGGCAAGCACATAAATCAATTGTGGCAGCATTTGCCCCTTCTGCTGAGTCTATGGCTTTCAGTCAAGGGAACTCATGTCCTGTTCCTGAGGCTTGGCCAGTTCCTAGTGTGCTTAATTATCCTGCAAATAGGAAGGCTCAGCTGTTCTCTCTCTATTGCTTGCACACACTGCAAGGGGAAATAACCACTGTCAGTTCATGGCAGGCTGTGTGACTTTTTAGCTTGAGGCCTATAGCTAATGATCTGAATGCTGCTTTCTAATTATAAAGAATATAAAGCTATAAACCACTGCATTCAGCCTGTATAGGTTGACTTCATACCATGCTAAGCCAAATCAATAAACCAACCTTAGTACAATGTGTGAACCCAGATATTCCTTGACCCTTCAATTTTACTAGCTCTGAATTATGTACTGCTTAGCTGTTTAGTTGCCATCTCCCCCACCCCCCAAATTTCTCCCTGGCTTGTTCACTTTCTAAACTTCTTAAAATCACGGCGTGACCTGTGGGACTCGAGCAAGCTTTCCAGCTGTTGAATGTGGCATTGAAACTTTTGACTTTTTGTTTTAGAGCAATTTAATGCTTGGATGTTAATAAGGAATCATGCTCATCTCCACTGTGTAAAGCAGGGGTCCCCAAACTTGGCAACTTTAAGACTTGTGGACTTCAACTTGTGAACTTCAGCTATGCTGGCTGGAGAATTCTGGCAGTTGAAGTCCACAAGTCTTAAAGTTGCCAAGTTTGGAGATCTCTGTTGTAAAGTCTCTTTCTTGGTTTCTGAATATCAATCTGAAGGTCCTAGAGAAGCAAGATTGGTCCTTTATAGTGAATAGTTGTCTTGTATTTTCAATCTTCTCAGTCTACTTCTCTGGCTACAGAACACTGCAGTCTGTGATGACCCAGAGTGGGATACAAAAGAAACACAATCACAAAAAACAGGTGAAGCCCCTTTTATTCCTTCACTTTGCTTCCAAGCTCCAAATATCCTTGACTGGAGACAAAAAACTCCCACACAAGCAATTACAAGAAGGAGGAAATGCCGTTTAAATTATAAAGAGTAAAAAAACAACACAAACCAGACAAGATAAGGGCTTGAAGACGTCCAGATATTAGAACACACACTGGGAAGGACACCAAACTCAGAGAGGAACAACAAACTAGAGATATTTCCACGCTTTGTTTCCAGCACTGGCCTATATGCATGTCCTTCCTCTTACCCAGTTGTCATAGCTGCAACCCATGAAGAGGATCAATGCCCTCTCCTCCCCCATAGACCATGTCTCTCCCTTATCCTCTCCTCCCTGCATGCCCTAGGATTGAGAGGGGATGGGCCTGAGTCCTCCTTTGACTGCCCAGCTGGCCTCTGCCCTTCCCCAGCCTCCTCCAGAACCTCCAGAGCCACACTTCCACTCCCTATCAGCTGTTCCTCCTCTCCCTCAGAGTCAGTCTCCAGCAGGGGCATGACAGTAGTCTATTACTGCCAAAGGCTGTGTCTCAGATTATCTACAATCACCTACAGTGATTGTAGTTCAGGGAAGGAAGGCATACCTGCTTACAAGGTATGAAGGCAGAGGTGGAAAATGTCAAAATCCCAGAGGAGCTGGTAGAACACAAGCTAAGATTTCATACTTGGGAAAGGCAAATTCTGGGAATGAATTACAATAGCATCTAAGAACTAGTTGCTTGATCTTAGGAATGGACATCTGTTCCCATTAAGATTGCATCTAGTGTCATTAGGTTCTCTGCTAATTCCCCACTCTTTCATGTCTTTCTCATAATGTGATTGGATTTGTAAATACGCCCACCACTCCAATTCCACCCTGTTCTTTTAATTCTTGTCTAGATTTCAATTCCACTTTCTCATTTATAATATCCTTATATGCAATAATTTTTCCCTGATTAATAAGGTTTGGGTGTACCAACTCCTCTAAGGTAGATAACCAAACGGGTTTCCATATAATTTTGCTGTTTAATTTTGTTCCATATCGCAAATATCAGGTGTCTTTGAAAATATTGATGTGCAGTGTGGCACATGTGTCTGTGTAGATACTAAGAGCCATGCTTGACTTAACCCCTCTCTCTGTGCCCTTCAATCATCCAAATTGCTTGGAGGAAACAACCAATTATCCAAGAGAAAACCCATTGAAAAAAGTAGTGTACAACCCAAGATAGGCCTTTAAAGTAAATAAAGGAACTCAGAACTGGAAGGAAGAAAAGTTGACTTCCATTATCTTTGTCCCACACACTGCAATCCTAGCCCTCCCCCAAAATATGAAATGTAACTTCTTACCACCCAAACTTCCCTATCCAGTTACCTTCCCTAATTCATCAGCCCTTATAAAAGTCCTTGGGTCCAGAGATTTGGTAGGTTTTATAATTAAGCTCACGCGGAGAACCTCATTTTTGTTTTCCTGTTGAGAGTGTCGTGTGTTAAGAGGATCTGTGGCTTGCGAAAGCAGAGACGTTCTTCCTACACATGGGAAAGCAATCCAGACAAAGTCTCACAGTTTTGTGTTTCTGTCTCAGCAATTGTGACAAGCCAGCTTTATAATTACTCAGTTGGGAAGCCTCTGACGGAAAGGCATCTATCCCAGGAGAATGCACTAAGCAAAACTGAGCTGAAAGTGGATTAGCTGCAAAAAGTATCTTTCTTGAGCACTGACCTTTAACAAGTTGAAAATGACAGCCTGTCAGAAGTGATATTTCAAGAGTTACAGCATATCTTAAATAATCTACATTCTTTGTCCCTAAAGCCTGTGATCAAAATAGGCAGAAGTGATACTAACAATGGAAGGTAGTTTGTGTTCCATTTTCGTTTTGCCTACAATTCTTTAAAGCAGCGATGTCTTTTTCTGAGAAGCAGAATCCCAGGAAAACAAAACAGAGAACCTTAAAGAATGAAGGTAGATTGGCTCTGTGGCGCCCCAATGCAGCTTCTCCTTTTTCTCCCCCCCCCCTCAAAGCTGGAAAACACTGTTTTAATACAGGTACAATCAAGAACAACTTAATGTCTTCTCACTCCTGGGCTGTAGATGAGAAGAGAGTATCATCATAAGGGCACAGCAAATGATGCCAGGCCGTGTTGATCCCATGGTTAGAGCTCAAATGGAGACACACCCTGAATTTTAGAGCCTATTTGGAAATTGCTGGTTCCCATGCAACCTGCAACTCATCTCTTTATGGCCCAGATAAATGAATGATCTACTCAGGACCTTATTTAAGCCAACATTATTTATATGGGAGGAGGGGGGGAGA